TAGCCGAAGTGTGACAATGAGACTGTAACAGGTCGGGTCAGTAGATCGCGAAGTGAGCTGCAGCTCGCGGTATACTGAGCTTGGGGTGATGTGAGGACGCTAATTTGTGTCCTGCCGTTACCCTAAAGAGAACTATGGGTAAAAGCCCTAACCCCATAGTTCTCCTTTAATCACTGATAACACTAAACTGATGAACAGTAAAAACGTTTTGATCGTCACCTATGGGAGTTTTTTGTGAAGCCTTATAAAGTATTACTTTACTGAAAGAACTATCTAAGGAAGGTCCCGTCTTCTATCGACCGACTGAAAATGTCTTTGGGATGAAAATGTGTGATTTTCAGTAAAGGTCATTTGTAGCTTACAACTAAAGGGAAAACCCAAGTGACGCTAGCATGAGATATATTTATGAATGTCAAGTGAATAGAAGCCGAGTGCTGTGAAACATTTACTGGCGTGTACTTCTCACAGTGATCATAGTAATCTCCTATATTGCCTTCATCTTCTTTCCTTTCCACAAGGACAGCCCCATCTTTATTTAAGGTGACATTAAAGTCTTATTTGTTTTACATTATCTACTTCTAGCAAGCAGTAGATATATGCAGAAACATTTAAAAAAAGAAGTTACCTAATAGGTTAAAACTTACCTCTGTCTCCGCCGCTCGATTCTGGCTGTAGAATCCAGCTTCTCGAGCGGCCATGCAGGAGAATGTGTGCGGGAGCATGCGCAGTAGAGATCACCAGCAAGGAGAGGAGAAGAGCTACAGTGTCTCAAGTCAATGCATGCAGCCATGAGCGTGCACGTCAGACAGACTCAGTGTGACAGAAATTTTTGGTCTTGTGACAGATGTTTTTTTTTTTTAAAGAGACCCTCTCATACAATTAAAAACACTCAAGCACATACCTGTAAAGAAGAAACAGGATGCTTACCTCTCCTGCTCCCTGTGCTACTGAACACTGCACCAATCCCAAGAAGTTATCCCCTGAGGTGAAGTAAATCAGCACGGAGAATCAGTAGGAGCTGCGGGAGACCAGAGACCAACACTGCCAGATGTATTGGCATCCCTGCAAACTTCCGGGCAATTTCTCAGGATTGAAGCAGGGTTTAGTGGCACAGAAAGCAGGAGAGGCAAATATTGTTTCTTCTATACAGGCAAGTGCTTGCTTGAGTTTCATTATGAGACAGGTTCTATACAAGAATATTATGCATCTACAAAACGAGGTTCTTACAGCACTGAATGGCACTTTCAATGGAGCAGCCTACCTTATGGTCTTCAGCTGTGACTCCACTTCATCAGCATACATAGTCATCTTCATGCTTTTCTTCGGAGAGGGTGTAGAGATCATTTTCAGCTCTAAGTCATAGTCCATTTCATCAGAGTCTGAAGCGCTGGCTGCAGAGCGCCGTGCCCCTTCTCTCTCTCTTTTAAAGGCTTGCAGTTCATCTCTATATTCCACCACTACGCGGTCATCCTCGTCCATATCCTCTTCCTCCTCCTCCTCTTCTATTGGCTCCTCTGGAACATTCACCAGGCCTACATATCAGGCAAATATTCAACTCATCAGCAAACCAGAGGCCAATGGCCACTCACTCTTTTCATACCCCTAAATGAACAGGTTGTCAAAATGGTAAAAGTCTAACTCCATCTCTTTTTTTGCATAGAGTGAGAATTAAAGCCGGCCATACACTGGCAGATTTTCTAAGGGATGTTCATGTGAAAAATTAGATAGGGTTAAAATCCTTCCTATCTATTTGTTCAGATGACCATTGACACAGATAGAAAAGAAATGGAAAATCCAAAATTGTGCAGTTGTCATTAAAACAAGAGGTGAAGGTAACTGTTCCAATGAAGACACCCTCACTTTGTAGAGATTTCCTCTCACTGCTGTGTCCCCAAGACAGAAAGTGAAGAGAAATAACCCAAACATGATATAGACAGCAAAATATATACTGATAGAATTCTTAAATACACTAGCTTTACATATACTTATAATTAAGAAAGAAAAAAGTGCACAATGGGAGCACCACTCTGCTTCATTTGGGTGTAAAGGAGCATAGCAAGTCCATTATGCAAATATGACTTACCACCAGGCCTCCAGATCTGCAGCATGCACTTCTGCAATTGGATTTACTACAGTGGCAACTTCCCTAGTGTTTAACAGTAGACCTCTGAATCAGACAATTGCAAGAGAAAGGGAGCTGTATGATCACCAAACCCAGCAATGCACCGTAGAGGAACATTAGAAGTATGGGGTAAAATGGTGGCACATGATCGTGACATTTACAAAAAGCTCCCTTCACTTGGACCCAGTGAGTGGATTTCCCTTTAAGCTGGTTTTTCTTTTTTCCATTCCTGGCTACAGCACATGTAAGTTCTGCTGCTACCTGAATGAAGGTGTTGGTACGCGGGAGCATCGTCTCCAATAATTGTCCTTTTCTTCGTGACATCTCGCTGGACACGGCGAGAAGAATTGTACCGTCTCTTCCTGTTCACAAAATTGAAGAGGTCCATTAAAATCAAGACTAGTAATTTTAGAGGATCTTTACCCAAAATGCCTGAAAACCAGTTAAAATAAGTGCTCTATGTTTAGAACTGCTCATCTGTTTTTGGTACATATGAAAGCACTTGACTGGTAAATGAAAACAGAATAAAATGTAACAATATTTACCAGGAGTTGCTAAGGATTCCTTTCATGCCGCCATAGTTTGGATTTCCGTACTTCATGTAGTACCGACTTCTCCGTGCTGCTCCAAGTTCTTTCTTGTCATCTAGGAAACCATAAATATACTTCAGTAACAAATCAAATGAAAGCGTTAGAACTGAAGATCCTTCACACGACGCATACTAAAACTCTCCAACCTCCTTCTTGTGTGGTACATGACAGGGCCTCCATTGGAAATCAGTCTTCTGATAGCAGTGTGCAACACACCCAAATATCTGCCCTGCCAATAGAAATCACCAGCACTCCATAAATGAAATTAATTTCATTTACGGAGTGCTGGTGATTTCTATCGTTCATTGACTGTTGTACACGGCGACATCCATGATTCTCACTGCGAGCAACCCCATTTTCACTAGGACCGGAAGCGCTGTAAGGAGTGCAGGGGGACCTACTGTTTTCTGCCCTGTGAACAAGTCACTTTTCCATTTTTTTTGCACATAATTGGTTGTGGTTCTCCATTTTAAAAAAATCATCTTCAGAGAAGTTGGTCCTTTTAAGCTTGGAAGTCAACAATAGGTAGATAAAATTAGATTTGAGGTTCTACTTGCAAAGTAGCTTTTCAGAAGTGTACAAAATAACCAGTTGCTTCAAATTAAAATGACAGGTTCCGGTTCCCCAGTGGAATATCACTAAAGCTACTTTCAGCCACTGCTGATCCAGCCCCATCTAACATTGAAACAATTACTGTAGTGTAAGAGACCATGTTAAAAACTGTCTCTTTAGTGTGGGGCGATTTGCATCCTTAGTAACATAACTCATGTAAAGACTTAGGGCTAGTGGGGGGCTAGAATATATGTAGAAGCAGCAGATTTCTCTTTACAATTCTGAAATTATATTTTAGATACAGAGATTAAAAAGAAGCCGGTTGTAAGATATTTATATAGGCTAAGATTGCAAACCGCTCCTACTCTGAATGCCAACTGCTCTCCTGCTGCATTGCTAAAACACCAGAGAAGGAATTCTAACTTTGTCTTTCATTAAATGAATGCTCATTCTCTCATGCCAAGTCTGCGATTTAGAGATGCTAATATCAAAGCCAGACAATTAGCATTTTCCGAAAGAGACCTTTAATTGGAACCCCTGTATTTCTCCTATGATGTACTTTAAAGCTGGCAAACTCTAACACCATCCATCCACACGGAACTTACCCTGTGATCCATGATGATCCTGAGAAAGAAGGACAATAGGCACTGCTTACCTTTGGTAGCAAATCTCATTTGCAACATGTTTTTTTTGAACAATTTTACACCGGGACGAAGATCATTTCTCATCAAAGACTCTTGTTCTGCCTCAGACAGAGTTTCCATCTGTACAAAAAAAATAATTCAAAAGACGTAATGTATAACAGATACCTTTTATGAAAGACATATTACAGAATCTAAATTTAGTGGCTGTTCCCCTACCATATAAAACTTATGAAATCAGACACCCCGAGGTTGATTTACTGAAGGATTTGATATTATTCACACCCACAATAAAATGTGTGAAGATTTACTTCAATTACATAAAAATGAGATAAACAGAAATGTTCTTTTCACACGATTAGATGATTGAAGCGAATCTCCCCACAATTTGTTAGCATTCTAAAATCTAGGGATGCACCGATATAATCGGCCGAAAACGGCACTTATGGCTAAATGCCGAAAGTGGCATTTTCCTGCCGATACATCGGCGCATCCGTGATTTCTCAGACCCCCCCGCTGGGTGCTGCTCTGTGTCCCAGCGGGTAGGAGAGAAAGTGACAGCCGGCCGAGGGCTGCGGGACAAGAGCGCTGTGAGCGGCCGGTGTCTCTCCTCCCATGTCTCTCCTCTCGCACCACTCGCTCAGCCTCCTGCGACAGCGTGAGAGAGGAGAGCAGGCTACAAACACTCAGCGACCAGTGATCGCTGAGTGTGTGTACATAATTGAGGATACGGTATGGTTAATATATCCTCAATTATGAATGAATGGGAGTGATCTATATCCATTACAAAAGAATTACAAAAGACTAAAAAGAAGTGTACAATATAAAATGTTACATTTAAATGTACCCCTGCGAGAGTTGCAATGTGAAATGCTGGTAGATTAGAGTTTTATTTCCCTTCAAAGATTGACCAATATCTACAGATATCACACCCCCAATTTCCATTGTTGGTGAGCAAAATCTCAGTGGTTGACCACAACTGTATGCTCATCTCTTACTGTGTTTATGGTATTTTTTATGGTATTTTTGTTGGGCTCTGCATCTTCCTCTGCATCACTAGGATTTTCTTCATCCACTTCACCTTCTTCGGTCTCCTCTCCAGAACTGTCATTAAATCTATCTAGAAGGAGAGCAGGAAAACATTCAGAGACTGCCCCGGCAAACTGCAATGCCATGCCTTTCAAAAGAATAACTTAGGCTGCCATTTATGGAACATTTTTGCTGGGAAGACTTTAGCTCAGAAGAAGTTAAGAGAAGACGACTGCTTGGGTAGTAAAGGAAGAGTCCGGGCGCACTGGGTCAGTTTATTGAAAGTTCGTCGGTGTCACTGAGTCCTGTCTGAGGTCTTCCCCTCTGACATGTTTCACCCAGTCCTGAGGTTAGTCATAGAGTCTGTGTCTATGATAAAGATCCTGATTGGGTGAAACATGTCAGAGAGGGCAGACCTTGAGCAGGACGAATTTTCAATAAACCAAGTCCAGTGTGGTATGGAGTGTGGCCAGATTCTTCCTTTACTGTATGCCGGTTTGGTTGAAACAAGGACACACTCCTACCGGAGAGCTCCCGGCTGTCTTTCCACTGCTAAAGCCGAGGAGGAGTGGTGCTTTATTTCTATGCCTTGATGTAACTGCTTGGGTAGGTTGTAATTTTGTGGTGTTACATGAGGATCTTATGCCATAGTTAAAATCACAGCAAGAGATTCAAGTTCTGCCCTACATTACCCCAGAAGAAAGGCAGTAGTTCCTCATTGCACATGGGGCAAAAGGTGCAATTTAGTGTTGAAGCACATCAATCATTTATAGAATTGGCAGATTTTAGATTGTCGGTATGTAAAACGGAGCCACCCACGCTGGGATATGTGTGAAGTTTCAGGGTCAGGACACGTGCTTATTCTTAGTTTGTTGAGAGTGTTGAGTGCCTAAATGATTCAGTAAGTCATAAACTGGGTTACAAAGAACTTGTGTACACACTATAGTGAGCTTAGATGTTACCCAAATAAATCATATCTTCTTTGTGTTGTGCATCATTATAGAAACTCATGTCATCTGTTTAAGAAGACAACAAAGAACTGTGCTTACATTACAATGAACGTGAGCACGAGGTATAAAAACTAGAAGACACCTGGAAAAGCTACCTGATGACAAACAACCAGACCCTCCCCTTTATGTTTTGGCACAAGGTACAGTGGATTGCAGCTGCCCAAGTTGTTGTAAAGCCCAGATTGTTCTGCGAGATGAAATCATTATCATAACAGTCATAACAGTGTTCAGGGCTGCCAAAATCTGTCAATAAGCAGGTATGTAGAACTTCAAGCAGATACAATAATGGATGTTCAACATCAGGTGAAAGGAATGCTGTCTGAGAGTCTGATCTTTTCTTGACAAAGTTCAATCTTAAAAATGCATTCAAGTAAATTAACTATCAACAAAAATGTATCTTATTTGTGTATCACTCAGCTGTAGATCCTCAAATCATCTCTGAATTCATGCTGACACCGTCCTTCCTTTTTTTTTTCACTTTTCATTTTATTCAACAAAGGTTACAGGCGTTTATTCGTTCTCCTCGCTGCGCAGTCTAGCGTTGGGGTTTGTCACCTTGATGGCGAGCTGTGCTGCTCTTTCTACAATGGTCTTGCGGTTCTTAGAGGAGACGTTGCGAGCGATTTCAGCGCAGAATGACTTGTTGCTCATCATTAGAACTTCCAGTTCCTTCACATTGTGTACAAGGAACTTCTTGAACCCGGTGGGCAGCATATGTTTGGTTTTCTTGTTGCTACCGTAACCAATGTTGGGCATCAGGACCTGACCCTTGAACCTCCTGCGGGCTCTGTTGTCGATACCTCTGGGTTTGCGCCAGTTTGGCTTAATCTTGACATAACGGTCTGACTGGTGGCGGATGAACTTCTTCGTCCGCTTCTTGACAATCTTGGGCTTTCTGAGAGGTCTTAGAGCCACCATGGTGCCGGTTCGGTGCGTCTGCCTCCTTCGCAGACAGCCCGAGGAAGAGCGACACCGTCCTTCCTTTTGGAGGGTGGCTACTTTGTCCCCCATGGTCCCTGTGTGTGTGTTGTAAAGTAGTCACTGCTCCAATCTCGCTCCTGTGATGGAATACAATCTCATGTTTAGTTTACTAATTTGTATTGTGATTGTAGTCCATCATGGGAGCAAGCTTGGAGCAGTGGTTACTTTACAACACACACAGGGACCATGGGGAACAAAAGTAGCAACCCTCCAGAAGGAAGGACAGTGTCGGCACCTATTCAGAAATGATTTGAGGATCTACAGCCGAGTGATACACAAATAAGACACAGCTTTGTAAATAGTTAAGGTACTTGAATGTATTTTTAAGATTTAACTCCTGAGTTCAGTGTCACTTTAATCGGACTGAAAGACAACCATAAAGTTGTCCTGTATGCAAACATTAACATACAGTTATATGGGATGGGTAAGAACAGAGTACATGAATACCATTACTGGAGAAAATGCTGCTCAAGGTGGTTTTCAGTGCTGTCTACATTTCTGAAAGCCTAGACACTTGGTCATGACCAAGAACTTGGGAGTCTAGGTCTCCCTGTAGGTGGCCAACACCAAATTTGCAGCAACATTTTCTTCATGAAATGTATTTCAGAATACAGAAAACGCTATCCATCCCAGCAAGACTAGCAATTTAGCTTCATAATTTGTTATAATAGAAAGTGATAAGATGTTCTATCTCATCTAAAACAGAAAAACAAACAAAAAAGACCATAAAGAGTTCTGATCACATGAAGCTGGTTACCTGCTTTGGATTTTGTAGAGGTGCTTTCGTCATCTTTTTTACTGTCCGTATCTACTGGCATAGTGCTCATATTTAGCAGTGCACGTGCTGCAGTCACTTCATCGAGCCAGACCACATTACCTACAAGAAAGATATTTGATCTTAATACAGTTGCAACAATCGTGAGCTTACAGTACACAGAGGGGCCTATTTATAAACATTTTGCAGGGCCCTTCCCCTTACCTAATTTCCTATGACCCTCAGCTCCATCCAGTGGCCATAATACAGTATTAAATCACACTACATTCAAACTGAAAGAAAAAAAATATTAAAGCAACACTAAACTCAGGAGTAAAATTTTGAAAGCATTCATGTACCTGAACTATTAACAAAAATGTATCTTATTTGGGTATTACTCAGCTGCAGATCTTCAAATTCTCTACCCTGCTCCCCTGGTGGACTACAATCTCAATATAAATAAGTAAACTAAACATGAGATTGTAGTCCATCACAGGAGTGAGCTTGGAGCGGTGACTACTTTACAACACACATATGGGGAAGAAAAGTAGCCCCCCTCCAGAAGGAAGGACAGTGTCAGCACCAATTCAGAGATGATTTGAGGATCTACAGCTGAGTGATACACAAATTAGATACAGATTTGTTAATAGTTGAGGTACTTGAATGCATTTTTCAAATTGAACTCCCGAATTTAGTTTCGCTTTAATATATTTTTTCAGGTCGAACGTATTGTGATGTAACAGTCCTGGCCCTACAGTGCAGGATAAAAAGGTAACTCGCTCTCCTCCTCGTCCATTAACAAAAGTTTTGGATTTTTTTTATGGTATGCAAAGCGTTTCATTATTGGACGAGGAGAGGGGCGGATGAACGACACAATCAACCCTCGTCTATTCCCAGAAAGCCTTGTATTCTGTAAAGAGAATACAAAGCATTACCTGAGGGTGAGGTGGAGTGCAAAGGACCTACTATATGTCAGAACTGTAGGTTTCAGCACTAAAAGTTCAATGCTTGAACGTGATGGGATGAATTAAACTAACTAAATTGTTTACTTCTCCTGCCTTCTCCAAACCTTTCACCCTTTTGTCCGCCGTACGCCATCAGAATAAGAAAAATAAAAACACCATAGGAATACATAGCTAGATTCCTATTGGCTATTTCACTTTGCAATAGCAAACTAGCTATTGCACCCGCCCTCTGATGCTGTCAATCACTAGAAGAGGACCTGATGAAGAACTTCAGGTCGCCCTCTGCTGATTGCCCCCAGCACAGGGCGGGTGCAATAGCTAGTTTGCTATTGGCTATTGCAAAGTGAAATAGCTAATTGGAATCTAGCTATGCATTCCTATGGTGGGGTTTTTTTTCTGACTTATGGCAGCCCCCAATGTCATGGAAAAAAAAAAACGATCGCAGGGAAAGGTTTACTCTGCTTGAACAAGCAGAGTAAACCTTTCTGGGAGAATGTTTCTCTCCCAGGCAGCCGGGAGCCACTATCTAATAGCGGGAGACTTCCGGGCGACCCCTGGCAAATCGTCATTCCACCCCCGACAGGGTCGCGACCCACAGGTTGAGAACCGCTGCTTTAGTGAATATACCTGTTCAAGTTTTACATAATGCAGCAGCAACCCCACACATTGGACCCCATCATTAGAGGCGATTCTTTTTTTGTGCAAAGAAAATATCTGCTAGGTGGGCAGAACTTAGTAGAGAAATCAAGGAAATCCAGTCTTAAAGGAGAACTATTGGGTCAGTGTTTTTCCCCATAGATCTCCTTAGGGTAACGGGAGGACACAAACTAGCGTCCTCCCGTTACCCTAAGCTCAGTATACCGCGAGCTACAGCTCGCGGTATACTGAGACGCCGCAGCGGATCCCGACGTAGATGACGGGATCCGCCCAGCTGCGTGAGTGACAGCTGGCTCTGCCTATCTAGAGGCAGAGCCAGCTGTACCCGCCCCCTCCCCTGTCCGTTCCGCCAGTCAGCGCTGGCAGATCGGAGCGGGGAGAGGGGAATCCATCCCCTCCCCTGTTACGGCAGAGAGCCGTGACAGGATCGAGAGGTGAGCGAACCCGGTATGTGTTCGCTCACCTCCCGATCTACTGAGCCGACCTGTGACAGTCTCATTGTCACAGGTCGGCTTGAACTATGAGGTGAGTGGAAATCACTCATCTCATAGTTCTCCTTTAAGTAACAAATGAAATCAAGTTAACAGAGGGGAGCACAGAGAAGACTTTGGCCATAAAAAATATAAACACTTTTTGGTTTTTAAGAAGACATTTTACAGGTTCACATTTTACAAGTCAGACAGATGATATGCTATGGATTTCAGGGGCAAGCAAATAGGCTGCAGTCTCATTCATCACATGAGAAAGGCCCAGACTCAACACCCAAATAAACTTTCAACAGACAAACCTCTGGAAGCCCTGGCTAACTGGCCTCCTCCATCACTCACCTTTATATACCTTGCTAGCAGGAATTATTTTAACCAGAATAGGAAGAAAGAGGCTGGCATAGGCAAAAAAAAAAATTTATTTTGTAGTAAAGGGCTACATCTTAAGTTATGGGTGTGTTCATTTTAAGCAGTATCATGCTAAAACAAAAGATGTAAAGAGTGACAGTGTCTTACAGGAAGCGTCATCCAACCATTCGATGTAGCCTGGTGGATACTGCTTAAAGAAAGAAAATATGTCTTCTGTGCTCATGTCATCCACACCCGTGACATATAGGGTTTCCAGACGGACCTCCGGCATTGCTGAAAAAGATTAGAAATTAAAAGTTTCATTCTTACATCTTACTTAAACCTGTGGAAAGGATAAATTAAACCATAAACAAATGAACATCATTTTCATGAAAGCCATCTGCATTGTGATAAGAACAGCTTGCTATAGCCTTGGGGAATACAAGCTGCTGAGCTCTGGCCTAGCAACCTGTATTCAAGGTGTTTATCTGGCAAAACAATTCTTCCCGCAGGGACCATTCACATGAGACTGCATTACCCAATGTGCTCATATACAGGTGAATGTACATCATTTACATGAACAAAATGTTAGCTCATCACCCAAGACATCTAATCTCATTTACTCTACACAGACCAGAAGCTCTGTTCATCCATAAAAAGATGAGATTTGTAGGTAGTAACAACTTAAGTTACACTGATAACAGTGTATTATCAGTGTAACAGTACATTACATCACGGTCACTGACTCAGATACTAATAAATGTTCTGTACAGGGGTTCATTTTGTACTTAACCTGGTGGTATAAAAGATTAGCTAGGTGCTCAAAAACTGGAAAGGGCATGCTTCAAAGTGGTCTCCAAAACATTCTAGAGCAACTTTAGGGGTAGCCCTAGTATGATGTCTTGATCTGATCTCCAGCTGCGGATGGCAACAGATCATCCAAGCGCATATATACACTGAGTGGCCAGTTTATTATGACCACCTGACGTTTGTAGGCAAATTAGCTATAATTTGGCGCTGAAGTTGCTAGAGGGCCAGACCATTATAAATAGGGAAGCAGGTTGTTTAACACGACAGTAGAAGTGATTTTTTTCTGAAGATATGGGTAAACAATGCGATTTAACAGCCTTTGAACGTGGGATGATTGTTGGCGCGAGCCATGGAGCGAGTATCAGCAAAACAGCAGAATTCGTTAAATGTTCAAGAGGGGCTCATTGTTAAAGTGTTTAAAGAGTGGACTGTCAGCCGAAAATCTGGGTCTGAACGTGCGAATTGTGGCCCTCACCCATCGAGTCATGGACTCCATTAGACGTCTGGAGGTATGCTGTGGTATCTGGCACCAAACTCGTAGGCTGCCATTGTTGATCTCCTTCAGAAAAGTCTCACTGACTGGCTGTCAATTCTTGAACTTTTTTACATAGCTTTAATAAACAAAGAAATGGAAGCCAAGAGCCCTGATTTGCATACTTGTTTAGGTCAATGATTCAAAAATATACTGAAAGTAATGAGGTCACTACCCTATACTAATTTCACTTGCAGCAGGAGTTGAGGAGTTTAAGCACCCAGATTTCTCCATTAGGGTGGACCTATACTTGAATGACCGCAATGCTATATTAACATTCTGGTCAGGGAGCAGAATCACTGCATTTGTTCAAGTTGGTTCTCAAAGTGCTCCGGATTCGTGTTCACATTAGAGATAAGAAGGCTGCAAAGTCATGCTAGGTAGGTGGGAGGATGTGAGGGTGAGCAGGATTTTTGCGAATTAATTACTCCACAGTGCCTGCTGCTACAGAAATTAGCGCTTTTTAAATTATTATTACATAGTATTTATATAGCGCCAACAGTATGTGCAGCGCTTTACAATATAAGGAAGACATTACAATCACAATAAAATTCAAGACAACATGGTAAGGAGGGCCCTGACCCTGTGGGCTTACAATCTAAAAGGGGAGGGGCAAATGATACATGCAGGAGGTAGCTGTGTGGGGATGAATTGTTTGAGAACGTGACGGTTCAGTGGTTAGGTTGAGATGGGATAGGCTTCCCTGAAGAGATGAGCTCTTTTAACTCATTTACTGCTTGTTAACAATATGTAAATATTTAAATGTCCATAGCCTGGCCACAGTTGCACTTTAACCGGGATCAAGGCAGAAAAAAATTGCCGTCTGAAGACGGCAACCCGCAGATGCAGCAGTGCCGTCCGTCCGTTTTTTTACTATCTGTCCCCAAAAAAGGGTATACAATTCATTTCAGTACAGCGCTGCATGACGGAATAAATGTCAGTTAAAGTACCGCAGCGCTGAATACTGAAAAATGGCCTGGATGGGAAGGGGGTTTAACACCGCGGATGTCAACTGGTTAAAGGACAAAATGGGCTTTAATTTGATGTGACATACGCATATATAAATTCTTTTTTTAAAATAAAAAATACAAACAAATGCAAAATAAATAAGAATACATTCTGTTTGTCCTGAATTATAGGCTCCAGTCCCGAGAAAAAATAAATACATTCTGAAGCTGTGTCACTAAGGGGTTAAATTACTAAACAGGTTGAATTCATACATTTATGGGCACCCACAATAATCTTTTGGTTATATGCTTAAAGTACATCTAAAGCCATTTTTTATGTTTTAAATAGAGTAGAAATTGGGTAAAACATAAACAAACTTCTTTAATGGGTGCTGAATGAATGCCAAGTGCCTGCTCTCATAATAGGGTTAGGGAAAATATTTACCTTTCCTCATCATTTCTCGATCCAGCACGACATTTCTCTGATCATCACTGGCTTCTGCACGGAAATGAAACCTCTTTGCTCTTTGTTCTTTTTTCTCAATGGCTTCCTGTACAAAAGGAAAATATTTAGAATGAGGACTGCTTATTGACTGATCCAATGCGTATGTATCATATGACAGTTTCAGAGGCAGATGTATACACCAATTTATAGCAAAAGAAAATACAGAAAAACATTTCAAAACCATTTGGTGCTAGACTACTAAACTACACAATTCAGCTGGTATGAAAATAATGAGGTGCAGCATATTTCATTATATGGGGCTAAAATACACTAAGATGATTTATCTGAAGTGTATCTGCCAAATCATAAAACAGACATGGGTTCCATTTACACAGAGCACAGGCTATAAGTATGCCTGCTTCCCCACCATAGACAGCTGATAGGTTTTACTTGCTAGCTTGGAAATGCATTATGTAAGCAGCCCAAATAATCGTTTCCAAAACACAATCACGAATTGTTCTGTATTTTATTTACAGGTGTATTTATTAGGTTTTGTTCTAATCTTCATAAAAACTTTAGATAGAACTCTTTACTGTAAAGTTGATAGTCTTACGTTTAGTTCAGCTTCCTTAGGCATTGTTAAAGCTGAACACTGGACACGCAAACTTTTATTGAAATATATTACTCAATAACCACATAGGATATAAATCTACTTCGTGTTCACCAAATGCCTATGCAAACCCAGATGTTAATTTTTCACAGTAGCAGTGACATCTCTGCTAGTACACAGAGCAGAGTTGTGGGAGGGGCCAAACAGGCCCAACCCACTTCAGGCTGCCTGCAAAAAGCTACAGGAGGGGGCGGATACAAGACCAGTCACCCTGCCGAACTGGTCTTTATAACAGGAGGTTCCTGCACAAAGGTAAAGTATCACACTGGATTGCTGCACAGATCTTGAAGAAATACACAATGGATACCAAGAGTCAAGTAAGAATACATATAGCTGTTGGTTTTAGGCAATATCTGCTTATCCCCCAGTTTAGCTTTAAAACTAACAGTACCAAATTGTAAGAGTTATGCCCGACTCATATGCTTTGGATCAGTGACCCACTAAGTAGTGAAACATGATGGATAAAGATAATATCCCAGGGACATGCAATTTACACAAGAAGAACAGTAGCATCCATATTTTGTGGGTTCATGCACACAAATGTATAAAATGCTGCATTCAGATCTGTACTTCAATGCTGTACTCCATAGGCCCATGCACACAACTGTGCTATGGAACGAATCCCAGGTGCCAGGTCACCATGGCGACTAGAAATTGCATCCTGGCGCCTGGGCTTTTGTCAGCCCATCCACTGCTTGCACCAGGGGTGAGTACTGCCTATTGCCCAGCGCCTCAGACATGCAGTTCCGGCCACCGCATCAGATCTGCTCCCTGTTCTCCTCCCTGCTGGGAGCCCGCTGCGGTTTGTTTCCCCTTCTATCCCGGCTGCTCTCCCCGCCTGTATCAGCAGAGGCAGCGGGGATCGAAGGGGACACAGACCGCTGTAGCAGTGAGGAGAGAACACTGTCAGCCGCTGTGACTCTGAATCCTCTGCGCCCCCTCTACAGATCAACTACTGGTGGTAGAAGGCCGGCGACAAGTCTCCTGTTCAGCAGACAGGAGCCTTAACCAGTTTGCTATTGACTATTTTAAATAGTCATTCCCCAGCTAAAACCTCTAAACTGGAAAGGTGACACTAGGGGTCTACTAGGCCCCTAATGTGACCTTAAAAAGAACCTGTCATCTCCAATGTGCCATCACATTGCCCCACTGCAAGGGTTAACTGCTTGTTTTTATCTTGGTGCTAAAATAAAAAGTTATACGCATCCGATCCTTGCAGTCAGCTTGTTATTAGACCAGTCCTTCCAACCTCTCTCCTCCTCCTCTGCAGTGGTCTAAGGTCCTTTAAATCATCAGGTTCTATATACAGTGTATAGATGTGAGGACACTGAGGAACATTCCAATGCAGCATCACAGGCGGAGACAGGCTTCAGTGACTGAAGAAACAGGGAGCCGGCTCGGCAGTTCAGGTTTGTATCATTTTTTTTTAAAGAACCTAGACAAAAAGAAGTAGCCCAAATCCAAGGGTTAATAAAAGCTTTGCTGGAGTTCTTCTTTAGTGACAGGAACCAGTGTTGGTAGGGAGTAGGGCAGTGCACTTTAGTAATAAAGGCAAATTTTAGGAAAGGTCAAACATGTATAAGGCATTGCTTTCCAGAAGTCAGAAACGGCCAGCAACTATTCGGTGTGATTGGCTTTGAAAAGCACATCCAGAGTTGATAAAACAACATTAGTATCCATGTTCTTACTACAGAGTGCCGATAAGAGAGAAATCTACATGAACCGCTTCACTCAACCAATATTTTATATAGAACCATAGTATGGCCGCCAAGTATCCCCAACATGCCCAGGGAAACGGTTTACCTTGGAAGTCACATCGATACCAGTGATAAAGGTCCCAGCTTTATTTTCATATCTCCTAATGTTATCCTAAATGGAAATAAAAAGATATATTGTCAAATGCAGATCTCTTAGACGACTCAACATATTGTCACAGAGAGTCTTATGGGAAGTGTAACCACTTCCTGAGAGAACATCTCCCTGTACTACATACATAAAACCACACCAAACACGCTGTACTGATAGAACACGTCAGCAAAAATAATGTATTCACGTTCAAATGGAGATTCATTCGAGCCTTTTCACATGTGTTAGGTCCGCCTGTCTGTTTTTCAGGTGGATCTGATCAGAAGCCCAATGTTAAGCTGGCCATACACCTTACAATTATCTGCAGATTTTCTGTGGTCAGATGGAAAAGGTGCAACAGATTCCTCCATCTGCACTTAACTGTGTGTATGGAGTCATCTCCACCTGGGCCAATCTGTTGCACTTTTTCCATCTGACCACAGAAAATCTGCAGATAATTGTAAGGTGTATGGCCAGCTTTAGTCTATGGGCAGCCAGATCTAAATGGACGCGTGTCCGTTTACATCCGCTTACCCCCGCACTCCATCCAGGTCTTAAAAACCCAATGCAACAGAGTTCCGTTTTGCAGGACCTGATCGTGGCGGATCTGGGGTAATTTGATGTAAATGGACACATGTCTGCTTACATCCGACTCCCCATAGACCAACATGGGTCCAGTAATTTCAGTTTGCCATCTGACATCCGTTCTGTAATGCTCCGATCAGCTGAGGAGTCTGAGCACGGATTCCCTGCCGATTAGAGATGAAGGTGCCCGTGGGAAAGGGCCTTAAAGTCAAACTCCAGGAAAAAAAATATAATTGATATGCTACACTGGTCATGTGATTTATCATTATCATTTGTGGGGAGCGGCTGCAAAGTATAAAAATCAACACTGGTCTTCCAACCTCTTCCTCCCGCAGCCCCCTAACCTTATCTAAGCAAGAATGACCCCAACCGGATGCTTTCTGAACCACTTCCTGATGGCACCTTACTGCTTCAATGTTTAAAGCCTCGGTGCCAAAATCTTCTCCAGCGTTATCTGCAAAGTAAGTTCCCACAGACTCAACGGGGGGCCCTACTCCTAATAACCTGAGACTATTCTGCTCACTCACCCGCACACCCAACTTTAATCTACAGGACCTCACCAGGGCTGCCTCCACCTTATGGAATTCTCTCCCACGCCACATCAGGCTCTCACCATCCCTACCGGGCTTTAAAAAAAAATCCCTCAAAACGCAGTTCTATAGAGAAGCCTATCAGCTCTCCCCTTGATTTCTCACCCTATACAACCTTCCCTTCTACTCCCGATAAAAAAAAAAGAAGGTTAAAAAAGTCAGCCTGGGTTTCAGCTAAATTCTGCTGCAGGAGGTGCACTGTAGTGCCATTCATTTCAATGAACCCGAAACATGCTTCCTGCCTGCATTGGAATGCGGGGTACCGCAATCCCCTGCGTTCCAGTGCAATTGCAAAAAATTTAGGGCTGCAGCTAATGATTATTTTCATAATCGATTAGTTGCCCGATTTTTTTTCTCAACTAATCGATTGGTTGCATTTATTAAAAAAATTATCTCTCAAATAACCGATAACAAGGATAGTTGCCAACGATTATTAGCGATGTAATCGATTAGTTGTTGCACCCGTAAAAAATGTGTTCCCGCAGTTTTATTCTGAAATAAACGAATGAAATTAAATACATTTTGTTTGTAACACTTCATTTGTGTATTTGAGTTAAAATAAAAAATGGGATTTCATTTTTTTTCTATCAAAAAAATAATCTGCCAACTAATGCATAATGAAAACAATCGTAAGTTGCAGCCCTATAGGCAACAGATGTCTGTTAAATTTGACATAACTCTAACGCTATGCTATTCTGTAATGCTAGAAACACAGCTTCACATTTGTAGCTTATGTTCCATTTAGGTTTCACACAACAAAATGAGTGTTCAGCAATTGCTGACATCAGAACTTTCATTAGTTATCTACCAAAGCCCCCTGCTTACAGCAGAACAGATATAATCTCATATCCCAAAGCATGGACTTGAGCATCGATAGATTAGATAGATAGATAGAGCGAGCTTCTGGGGAGGCGCCCACGGGAACGTTTGACCATTTTTCCAAAAGCGCATTTGTGAGGTCAGGTACTGATGTTGGACGAGAAGGCCTGGCTCGCAGTCTCCGCTGTAATTCATCCCAAAGGCGTTCTATCGGGTTGAGGTCAGGACTCTGTGCAGACCAGTCAAGTTCCTCCACTCCAAACTCGCTCATCCATGTCTTTATGGACCTTGCTTTGTGCACTGGTGCGCAGTCATGTTGGAACCGGAAGGGGCCATCCCCAAACTGTTCCCGCAGAGCATGAAATTGTCCAAAATGTCTTGGTATGCTGAAGCCTTAAGAGTTCCCTTCGCTGGAACTAAGGGGCCAAGCCCAACTCCTGAAAAACAACCCCACACCATAATCCCCTCCACCAAACTTTACACTTGGCACAATGCAGGCAGGCAACTTCCGTTCTCCTGGCAGCCGCCAAACACAGACACATCCATCGGATGCAGCTGCTCGGCCATGGAAACCCATTCCATGAAGCTCTCTATGCAATGTTGTGCCAATCTGAAGGCCACACGAAGTTTGGAGGTCTGTAGCTATTGACTCTGCAGACAGTTGGCGACTTCTGCGCACTGTGCGCTTCAGCATGTGCTTACCCCGCTCTGTCATTTTACATGGCCTACCACTTCGTGGCTGAGTTGCTGTTGTTCCCAGTTGCTTCCACTTTGTTATAATGCCACTAACAGTTGACCGTGGAATATTTAGTAGCAAGGAAATTTCAGGGATGGACTTATTGCACAGGTGGCAACCTATCACGGTACCACACTTGTAGTCACTGAGCTCCTGAGAGCGACCCATTCTTTCACAAATGTTTGTAGGAGTCTGCATGCATGCATTGGACAGCCCATAACCAATGGCCAGGTTCATCACAATCAGTAAATCATGAAAACACAAGCTGACTGTACACTGGTCAAATCACAAAGTAGCTAGCCTGAAAATTGTTGGCTGAACAGTGACTGCAGCCAATCAGCTGCAGTCACTGTTCTGGAATTCTGACAGCAGCGCACCTACCATGGTCAGAATACAATAACATGGAGGGGAGGATTTGCATTGGGATTAATGAGAAGAAGAAAAAAAAGCTAAGTATATGGCCAGAATTTTAAAATAACATTTATGAAGACTAATGCCCAGTGTCCTTGGTAACATTCCACAAAACACTGCTTGGTTTTATCACTTGCTGATGCTGCTAGACGATTCCTAACTTCCCCATTTCCTTTTACAAGGTGACGACACTATTTATCCTACAATTTAATTGTGCAGCGGTGTTGCTGCCCTGCGGCAAGGGTATGTACACGTAGTTTAAGTGACATGCACATTAAAAGCCAACACTTTTTTTTACGTTCTAGCACCACGGTCAACTGTTAAGCTGGCCATACACCTTACAACCATCGCAACGTGCTCGTAGGACAAAAGACGTGCGACCGTACAGTAGAAGCGGTCGCACGCCTTCCATACACCTGCCGATTATCGTACGATCGCGGGATAATCGGCAGGTGTATGGCCACCTTTAGTGGTATTATAATAAAGTGTAAGCAACTGGGAACAACAGCAACTCAGCCACGAAGTGTTAGGCCACGTAAAATGACAGAGTGGGGCCACTCAGCTGTAGATCTCTGAATTGGTGCCGACACTGTCCTTCCTTTTGGAGGGTGGCTACTTTTGTTCCCCATGGTCCCTGTGTGTGTTGTAAAGTAGCCACTGCTCCAAGCTCACTCCTGTGATGGACTACAATCTCATGTTTAGTTTACTAATTTGTATTAAAGTTGTAGTCCATCACAGGAGTGAGCTTGGAGTGGTGGCCACTTTACAACACACACAGGGGCTATGGGGGAACAAAAGTAGCCAACCTCCAGAAGGAAGGACAGTGTCGGCACCAATTCAGAGATGATTTGAGGATTTACAGCCGAGTGATGTACAAATAAAATAAATTTTTATCAATAGTTCAGGTACTTGAATGCATTTTTAAGATTTAACTCCGGAGTTTAGTGTCACTTTAAGCACAGCCCTTTAGTGATGTCAAGGACAGCATTTGAGACCCCAATATCAAACGAGCTGACCACCCCTGGATTAGATAAACCACACACCGGAGACAAGAGTGAATGTAGCCTAATACACCCAATTACCGTATTTTTCGCTCCATAAGACACACTTTTTTCCCCCCAAAAGGAGGGGGAAAAAGTGCCTGCGTCTTATGGAGCGAATCCCGACGCCCGAGACATGCAGTTTCGGCGCCGGGCGAGTAGTAGGAGCCACTGCTCGTTTAATACGAGTGATCTAACGAGATCACTCGTATTAAAGCCGAGCAGCGGCGGCGATTGAGATAACCATAGAGCAGACGAAGAATAGACGTTCTTCGCCTGCTCTGTCATCACTGAGACCGTGGCGCTGTAATCACAGCGCCACCTGTCTCAGCGGTCACTAACTGCAGCTTCTGTCACAGCTTCTGTCATAGAAGCTGTGACAGAAGCTACAGTCTCGAGTGCTCCATAAGGCGCGCCGGACCTCCCTGCATCCTATGGTCCGGTGCGTCTTATGGACCGCAAAATACGGTAGGTCTTTTTAATGTCACTGAAAGCAAGCCCTTTTCTGCGCTCTAAAGTAAATATAAAGCTAAAACCTTATTTTATTTCATTTTGGATATCATAGGTATGTTAGAATCTCTGTGAGGGTTTTGGTTGCGTGTTGCCGGGGAGATTAGCCTTCACTTCCTGCAGACACAACAGGAAGTGAAAACCTCTCCGAAGTGAGGACATATACCCTTTAGCTGTCATTAGAATCAAGTGTTGCCATTGGAAGATTTCACCTCTTCTCCAGTTCCGCTGGCAACTGTCAAATTTTGGCTCCCTCCACTTTCCGTTTGACCAACAGTGGTCATCGGGATAAATGGAGGGGGGTAAGGATTCATCAACGGGAGCAGAATCCGTGTACCAAACAAAAGCCTCATCTGTGTCTTCGAAATACACGTTTGGATCAGAGTTCACCCGTGTACAGTCTGTTGTTGACATGTACAGGCCGACAGCACACAACGCCTGTGGCTCTCAGGCGCAGGGATGTGCCGCTGTGTGAATGAGGCCCAAATCTCACCGGGGACACAGACAACATCCTGACAGAGGATCTGACCCCTCACCAGTCTATCCACATGTAATTGTGATGTATGGACAAATGCTGATGATACAGCCCGAGCACTAAACACATGTGAGGGAGCATTGTACACATTTCACAATTCCCCCTCAGGCCTACAGAGCTGTTTTATGGATGTACAGGAGGCAGTGCAGCAATGAATGGACGGTGCTGGGATGAGCTCTCCCTTGATGATCAGGTGATATGCAGGAACCTCACACACTGCAGCTCCCCCATTACATACCGACACCACATCCGGGGGGGATGTCCCGTCCGGCGCGGCCTCCACTTCACCCTCTTCTACCTCCATAGGCTCCGGCTCGCTAACACCTCCCGCTCCAGACTTCACCAGCACCCGGAGTCCCCGCACCGCCGCCATCTCATCGGCCAGACGACGCGGGCGAGGCGAGCGATAGCACAAGAGCGTTCAGTCGTCCGCCCGGCGGTCATAGAGTGTGGGCTGCCCTGGCTAGACAAAACTCAGCACATGACCCGCAGGTGAAGGGGCGGCAGCGGCCATCTTGGTGGCGGAGTGGTGTCTGAGCGTCAAGACGTACGGGTCACGTGGTGCGCTACTGTCAAACAACGTAGTGTGTGCGGAGCGAGCTGTTGTGTAAACTGATTTAAACTCCAGGAGAAACAAATATTGTTTAAATACAAGAGCCGTGTATTCGTACTTGTATCTTGATGTGATTGGTGTGCTGTACTTCTAGATCTGTACAGTAATCCAGTGTAATACTTTGTCTCTGTGCAGGAACGTCCTGTAATAAAGACCGGTCACTGCTGCTCTCTCTACTTGTACAGGCTGACTGGTCTTGTATCCACCCCCTCCTTTAGTTTTGTGCAGGCAGCCTGTATTGGATGGGGCTTTCTTGGTCTGCTCTCTGAATGAGTTATGTATAGGACAGTCATGGTTTCACTGATATTTTACAAGGTACTGTCTGGGTTTGTAAATTAATTTCGTGTACACAAACGACCTTTATACCCTTTGAGTCCATAGATGAATATATCTACATAAAATGCTTGTGCTCAGAATTTAGCTTTAAAAGGGAAGCTGATGAAGGCTGCCAATGCTGTTATCCTTCTATACATGTCGGTAGCCTGGCTCGTATTGTGAGGCGATGGCTTCATCACTTTGAGTCTCTTACCTGGAACAAGTGTGCAGCAAGTGAATTCAAAATGCAGTGACTTAGACAGTGAGGATACTTCATGATCCACAAGGAGAAGCAGCTCAGAAGGGGAACAGTGTTGGACCTGCGACAATGAGCTTGTATGCTTCAAACAGGGTTTGCTTTCTGCCACAAGTCTATCGGAATGCAGAACCAGTTCGAAGCAAGTCAGAAGGAGGTCAAATGCACCTGGGAATTCTAAATGATCTCAGAGGCATTGCACACTAATGCCACAAGCTCAAAGCCCATTGAAACATGCCTATTAGAAGAACTCCGGGGAAAACAAATTCTTAACCCTTGACCCCCCCCACACTGCAAGGGTTAAGTGCTCATTTGTGTCTAGGTTCTAAAATAAAAGTTATACTCACTGATCCCCTGAGCTAGCCGGCTCTTGGACTGGACCCTTTTCCCACTGCAGAGGTCTAAGGTCCTGTGAGTCATCACATTCTATAAACAGTATATTGGATGTGAGGATGCCAAGGCAAATACCATCGCTGCAGCCGAGGAGGGGACAGGCTGGAGGGAGCGTTTTCACAGTCGGCCGGATGAAAGGTTCATGTGAGTATAACTAGGTTATTATTGAACCTAGACACAAACAAGCAGTTAACACTTGCAGTGCAGGGTAGCCCCACAGCAAGGGTTAATTATTTTTTTTAAATCGGGTAGGTAAACTCCAGCCATCCAGTTGTGATAAAAATACAGGGCCCTCACCATGCATCTGACTCTGGGAGTCATGGCTGTGGTTGCCAGAGTTTTGCAATGCCTTATGGGACTTGTAGTTGGACCACAGCTGGAGGGCCGGAGTTTGCCTACCCCTGCCCTACATATCGCTCTGCGCGTTACTTTTCTATAATGAGGCCCTGCCACCAACTTAAAAAATTGCAGCCTGAAGCAAAGGATGCTTCTTTGCAGTATGGTCTTGCAACAGGGTCTCTTTAAAGTGACTCACAATTTTTTTTTCCCTTTAAAAAGTTCTGCAAAGAAAAGTAATAATACTTACATGTCCCACCCCTGCACTTCACTCTCCTAAAGAGCTATGGCTTCTGAATAGGGATGAGTGCGGGATTGGACCGAAACCTGAGCTCATCCAAACCTGGAAGCAAGCTGTGAAGCAGTGGCGGACCAATCAGCTGTGGCCGGGGCATCCCATTCACACTGAGCTACAACAAAATATGCGCTTTTTCAGCGCTGACTTGAGCAGAGTGACTTTGAGCTACAGTGAGGGGGGTTTATTAAAACTGGAGCAGACAAAATCTGGAGGAGATTTGCACTGCAATCAATCATCTTCTCTGTCTCATTCTCAAATCTTACCTGAGCAAACTAAAGAGAGATGCTGATTGGTTGCCATGGGCAACTGCTCCAGATTCTGTCTGCTCCAGTTTTGATGAATTCCCCCCATTGAGCCTCTCAGAGCTACAGTGCACATTTTGATGCGCTACGTAGCGCTTCTTTTGGCAGTTTACCACAGAGACTTTGTAGCTGCTGCTGTATCCAATAAAAAGCAGTCTTTAGTGTGACATAATTCTGGGCAAAAAGGGACCCTTGTGTAGCGCAACATCGCGTTACAATGTCGAGTGCCGCTAATGAGCAACATTGAGCATGGCATTGCAGTACCGGGCATTCACATTCAGGTGATCAGACTGTGAGTGGGAGGTGCATTTGGGGTGTCATTCAAATGAATGGCAACACACCTTCCACGATAGAATACACCGTAGGTGTGATTGCATGGTATAGTGCATTAATCGCATGGGACTGTGGATTAACGCACTGTACTAGTGTGAATGGACCCTCAAAAACCACTGAGGCACACATACATATACTGTATATACATACATATATATTTTTTTTTGTGTAAGACCCACCCAGTCTCCCTATCTTATGAGAACTGGAGTGGATCCTCAGCCTGGGGTCCAGTGTGGGCTGCTCTGACGGAGCTCCCTCCATACGTGCATTGCTTACAACCAGTGGCAACTCTAGGAACAATATGTAGGGGGGGCACATAATATACAACAGTCAAATCTGGGGGGGCACTAATAATATGTGCCCTGTAGAGGTGCCTGGACCGGATTGACGTCACTTTCTGGCTCCTGGCACTTCTACAGGGCACATGTGAGAGTTGTAAGCAATGTAAGTATGGACGGAGCTCCCTTGTGGCCATACTTCCACCTCACCTCTAGCTGACTCGCAGGGCCAGGCAGCATATTTTGAATGGCTGCTCGGCACAAAAACTGATGGTGCTGCACTAAGGGGAGGCTGAGGAGTCTCCCACCTAGAAAAAAAGCATGCAATGACCCACTAAACACGGGGTCGCGACCCACTTTTGGGTCATGACCCACCAGTTGAGAACCAAGCAGCTACAGGCGACATTGAGCTGCAAGATGTGAACATCTCCATTGAAATGCATTGAGTTGCATGTTTGAGTGATTTTTGAGCAGAAAACGCTACAAAACACTCAGTGTGAATGGGCACTTAAACAAAGGGGCAGGATGGGATGACATACAGTAAGTGACATGATATGGCCATGTAAGATTAACCACTTGAAGTCCGCAGTGGTAAACCCCCTTCCTGTCCAGGCCATTTTTCAGTATTCAGTGCTGCAGTACTATGACTGACATTTATTCTGCCATGCAACGCTGTACTGAAATGATTTTTATACCATTTTTTGGGGACACATAGAGCTTTGTTTTGGTGCTATTTACCGTATTTCGCGCTCTATAAGGCGCTCAGGGCGATAGGACGCAGGGCTTCTGTGACAGAAGCTGCAGTTAGTGACCGCTGAGACAGGTGGCGCTGTCTCAGTAATCACACAGAGCCGACTTAGAACGACGTTCTTCGTCTGCTCAAGGGGCTCTATGTTGAGCTCCTATGGGGGACAGTGGTCAAGGTCTCCCTGAGGAGCTGGGGTCCCTGAAAACCACGGCGGGGGGCGGACACGATCGCCGCCGTCGCTTTATTTAATACAAGTGATCTAATTAGATCACTTGTATTAAACGAGCAGCGGCTCCCACTGTACATTCAGCTCTGCTCGTCAGGAACAGGGCTAAATGTACAAAAAACGACTCGCCCGGCGCACGAAACTGCATGTCCCGAGCGTCAGGCGATAGGTATTCGCTCCATATGACGCAGGCACATTTCCCCCCTCCTTTTGGGGGGAAAAAAAGTGCGTCTTATGGAGCAAAAAATACGGTAATCACCACAATTTTTTACTATGGTAAGGAAAAATTACAGAAAATTTTTTTAAAAACAATTTCCCCTATATTAAAGTGACATTAAAGGCAAACAATTTTTCCCCTCCCCCATGTTAATGTTAGCACTTACACTAAATGATATCTCTTTTTCTGATCTTCCTCTTCTTTCCTGATGTTTTCAGCCTTCTCAGCGGTGTGGCGGCTCTCCGATCCAGCGCTGACTGCATGCGGGTGCACGCGTCCATAGACTTACCTTGCGTCCCTCGTCGCGTCCCGGCCAAAAATGAGAAATGCGCGCGCCCCAAGATCCTTTGCGGCCGCTCGAGAAATTTCTCATTTTCGCGTGGGACCGCGCACGGAACACAGGTGAGTCTAAACTGCTGTTTGAGCGGGGTTTAAAAAAAACAAAAACTTTTTGCATATATCTACTGCTTGCTAGCAGTAGATATATGCAAAAAAACGGGAGGGTTAAAATATCCTTTAAATTATAAAACATTTATTATTACCCAATAAAAAAAGACACCAAACATGTCAAGCTTTAAAATTGTGTGCGCCCGCGAAACCTCAAAATACTAGAATACCCTGAATTGGCCATAGGCGACGCTTTAAAAGCCTTTACCGCTCATCAGTTTAGCGTTTCAGTGATTGATGTTCCTAGAATTATTGCTCTCACTCCGACATTCGCTGGTGCACACAGGCAGCACATACAAGCGATCGGCAGGCTATAGAGCCGCTGATCGCTGGTATGTGAAACCGCCTGGACGAGGTTTTTCTGCCCGTTGCGCGCGCAAGCAGAAAAAAAAGCCATCTATTTACGGCAACCCGCAAATGTGAGTTTGCCGTCCATCCGTTTTTTTCACAACGGGGAGGACGGCAAGCGGTTAATGATGTCACCAGTATCCTGCCCCTTTGTTTATGCAGCAGCGGGGAGTCGAATCTAGTTTAACAAAGTATACTAACTAAAACTGGATTAAGATCCCACAAGGCCCTTCACATACCCTTGAAAGCCACTACCGCTAAGCATACCAGGGTACATATTCCACAAATATAAGAAACATACCTCACAAATGTTTTATTCCCAAATAAATCTTCTATATTATTACTTTAGTCTGTGATTGACTGTAAACTATTTTACCTTCTGTTCTACTTCTTATATCTTAATAGATTGTTAGCTCTTCCACTTTCTGTATAATCCCTTATATCCTAACA